CTGTTCATCTCCGTAATGCTTTTAGAGAGATTGTTCGTCCATGCCGAGCATCCGGCAGTGTGGCTGTGCTAAAGCTCAGGAGTTCTGTTGCAGATTCTGAGGTATGCTGTCATCGCTTATTGATTTGCTTTTAGGATGGTTTAAGCCAGTAGACAAGGTCTTAAGAGTTGGGTGAATCTGATGAACAGAAAGTGTGTTTGACAAGGTTTGTTGTAGAATAGGAAATATTGCTTACTGAAACTGGAAAATGAAGATTTCATGAAATGAAAAATTTACGCCATACAAACCATTCTCACAACTGGAAACCTTCTGCATATTGACTGGGCATGATATTAAAAAATTAGGATGTAAAATAAACCTTTTTTTCTACAAAGAGGAGTAGGTAGGCACAGTGCTTTATGTCACTCTGAATTGACTTGCTTTTCATGGAGAAAATGAACTAATATAAAATTTTAAAGTTGGGATAAACTTTCTATCAGTATCTAAATTAGAAGTATGTTAAGAAGGTATTAGTGGTGTTTAAAAGTCAGTTGCAGATTTCACCAACGCACCTTAGAATACCTCCAAACATTGTCCATGATGACTCACATTGAAGCATGTACTTAAGCAAGTAAGGGATTAATAATCTGCATAGAAAGATGCACCCTAACTTCCTACTTGTTGGTTTACCATCAGTTGGAGAGCTTAACATAACATCTTTTTATAATAAGTACAGTAAAGATAAGCTACAACTTCAGCAAACACAAATATAATTGGAAGCATCTAAGAGAAATGGTACTGTCACTTTTAGTTCACTTTTCAACCCCAACATTGAACTCCTACTTGTATTTCTTCTAGTCAAATCCACTAATATTGTTTGAGTCAATAAATTATGTTCCAGAATAAAATTTATGGGACTCAGAGGCTTATAAATAGTTTCAGTAGTAGAGAAAAACAGATTATTTGTAAATGTTATTTTTAGGAATATTTTGTGTGTTGCTTTTAATCTTACTAGGGTCCCTTTCCCTCCTTTTTATGGCTTCTTATACCACATTTAACTTAGGAAAATAGATGTTTTAACAAAAGAGTTAAGAACATTACCTTTAATGTCTATTAGATTTAAGCAGGGAAATAATCATTTAAAATGGTGATTCCCTTAGGAAACTGGTTGGCTTTTAAAGCTCCTGCTATACTTGAGAGCTACATGCTTTTGATATCTAAATTCCTCCTCTCTGAGAAAGAGAAGGACTCCACCCTGGGGAGGAGCAAATGCGTCATCTCTGCTTGTAAGGCAAGAAACAGAACCCCGGTTAGTTGCTAAATGTGCTGTAGGATGAAATCTGACCAGATTTGGGCAGTTAGCTGCAGTTGCTGGAACAAAAGCCTAGCCCAGCCCTTACCTGATGTATCAGTGTGCGGATCAACGGGAAATGTTAGCTTGCAAAAAGAGGTTATAATCATGTTTTTCTCACAGAAACACAAAATATGTGTCTAGTAAAAACATACATGCACATATACATTCTCTATAACTTTCAGTTAAGTAACTTGGTACACAATAAGATTACAATGACCCACAGAAAATACAAAGAAACACATTGCTTTTGCCTTTGTCTTTGTCTTTGAAGACAGAGTCTCACTAGTAGTTCAGATTGGCCTTCAAGTAACTGTAGCCAGGCCGGTCTCCACTCCTCTGGGATCTTCTGTCTCAGACTCCATTTCCAGATAACCAAATTGTAGACGGTTGTGTTAGCTAGATTTCTGTTGCTCTGACAAAATATCTGAGAAGAGCAAGTTATAGCAGAGCAGATCCACTGGCTTCATTTTGTTCTGGTACTGTGGTGAGGGAAAGTGTGGCAGTCAAAGGGCCTGGGGAGCTGAGCTGCTCACCTTGTGCCAGATGAGGGGTGGGGGAGGACAGGAGAGAGCAAAGAGAAGAGAGTTACGCCCTTCAAGGCTGAGTCCCTGGAGTGACAGACCTCATCCAATGAAGCCCACTCCTAATGCACCAGTTGAGCAATGCACTCTGAAGTGGACCCATCCGCTGAAGAGTCCCAGGCCTCCTGAGCCAGCCACACCCCCGAGCCCTCAGGCGCAATTGCACCAAAGTTAGAGGAAGTCTTTGGGGAACATTGTAGATTCAGATCCTAAAAATAATAGATAAACTGCACTGAGTTAGGCAAATAGATCAGGTAGAAAACAGATACACAGATAGATAGATGACAGATAAAAGCAGATTGATAGATGATAGATAGATTGATAGACGATAAAGGAATTTGCAATAAATGTAAAATAAGTCTGCTTACTAGACAAAAGTTGACATAGTTGTGCCAGATAGCTTCTTACAAAAGTAATAATAAATAAAACCTGTCAACTTTAGGTCCCTGTTAAATCTCTGCCAGATTTTCTCTACATTAATTTCCTCCAGGCAGCTTCAAATATTTTCAGCATTTTGAAAGAAAAGTCTTCCTATTTCCTCTATATAAGAAGGCAAAATAAATTAAGACAATTGCAGACAATGTGGAAACTAGAGGTGCCACTTAATTCTTAAAATTTCTGGTTGAGAAAATGGGATTACAAACATTAGTTTAGTGAAGAAATAATCTAATACATATAACAAATTAGATCACTGTGCAAATGTTCTCAACTTAAAATGCTATAAAGTATCTTATTACACTTATAATTTGTACTCAGTATAAAAATTTAATATCTTCATAGTTTAACTTTTTTAATAAAAGCTATTTCTAATTTAAAATTTCAATTGCCCATATTAATGCAGTTAAATTATATTTCAAATACCTTATTCCTTGATTAATAAGGCAAGATTCAACCCTTAACTCTTGCACCCTTAACTATCTCTCTCTATCTTCATCTTAGAATTATTACAACAAATTATAACCTAAACTATTGGTAGTATGCAAAAGAGCATGTTGTATTGTTGTATTACTCAACAGGATGCAAAAATATTAAATTAATGACTGTATCATTAATAGTTATGATTTCAACACTTTCAATTTGCAGATTACAAATTGTGATGAGTCTGAAAAACAAGAAAAAATTAACCAGTTTCCCCTCCCCACCCAGAAAAAACTCTTGGATAAATGTACTTGGTTTGTTTCAAATAATTAGTAAATGCAGTGGCTTGTTCAAAAATGAAAATGTTTCCTCGTGATATACTTTTTTTTTTTTTTCTGCTTTTGTTTTTGTTTTGTTTTGTTCTTTGGCTGTACTGGGGATCAAACTTGGGACCTTTCGCTTGCCAGGCAGGCACTTATGCTGCTGATAGATGATAGATAGATTTATCTTATATGAGGCCCTTATATGAGATATTTAGGGAGAAAGAGTTAAAAACTGTTAAGTTTTAGTTATTTGACACAAGTTTTTAACATGATTTAAGAAAGAATAAGCTATGCCTTGCTCCAGTGTGCTTGCTATAACAAGGCTCGGTATAGTTTATTTTGGCACTTGGTAAATCATGGTCATATCTGCTTATAATATAAAAAGTATTTTAAAGCTACATTTGCAAACAGATCACCCAAACATCAATAGTGAAAAGCTTGGAAACAATATCTCTTCTTACTTTGGGAGTGTTATTTTAAAAGTAGATTGGATTTGTTGCACAGAATTCAGGATGTTTTAAAAAGATCAGATCCCCAAATTTGTACCTAACATGTAAATGACTAAACCAATTTACTGCAGGTATCTGGTTTACTAATAATATAAATTTGTTTTCACAACTTCTAGCATATATTTTAACAAAGATCATTACCAAGATCAAGCATTTGGTATCCAGGAATTATTTAAAGTAGTGATGCTTTATCTGAGTGTCACCACTTTCTTTCATGTGACAAAGAACTGGACTGAGACCACCAGCTTATTTCCGCAGGCCAGCACGAGTGTAGCTCTGTGTACACTACTGTCCATATCCCTAAGCTCACTTGCAGAACAGCATGTTTCAGGCAGATTTGAAAAGCATTCAGAGGGACAGCCACAGGATGATAGGAAACTTGATTTGAAGTGTAAAATTATGATGGAGAAGTTTAAAAATATGTATGGCTACATGCTCACAATGAGTATTCTAAGCTAGTGTTGTTACATGTTTTTGAAAGTTATCTTTCTAATAAATAAATTTAAATATTTTTTAAACTGCCTATGCTTTCAAGCCCCATGCATTTTGTAGTCAATTAAACATTTTTAAGAGTAACTTGTTACCATTTAATGTTTTTTTAAAAAAATAAAACACAAGCTAATTTCTGCTCTGGATGGGTTCTTTCTATAAAGTAGCAATTTGGGTGGATTCTGTATGTAACTTTGCTACACAAGAGTATGTACACAATGAAACAAAAATGTCATTAAAAGGTCTTTTGGGGAGTACTTCAAGAACTGTGCTTACCACAAGAAAGTAATTTTTAAAAAAATTATAATATTTCAATTATTGAGGAAGCATCAATAATTTTTTTGTTTGACAGAAGATTGGCAGTGAATGTCTAGCAATGCTTAGAATGTGCATTGAAAACGATCTCTGAACCACATGTTGATATTTTTTGAATGAAACTACTGTTAGAACCTAGAAACAGTCCCTTGGTTCAAAGCCTTGTCTATCTCGTCTAAAGGAGGAGGAAAAAAATTAGAAAAAGAGAAGAGAGTCACAAAGTGAAAAGAATCAAACTACCACCAGGAAATATCTAAAAGTTCTTACCATCAAGTATTTGAACACAACAACCTCGTGATTTTTGATCCATCTTAAGTGCTATCACCATTTATTTATTTTTTTTAAATATGCGTCTTAACATTTTATGACCTTTAGCTCATGGTCATTACTTTTATGACCTGAATCCCGTGTGTCAAGAATATCAACCAATTGGCACCTATCTTCTTTTAAAGATAGTTTTCAAAGCGAATGACTATTATATTGTAATACTTTGTTCTCTCTCTCCTCCTCTTTCTATTTTTTTTTTTTTATTTTTGCTTCTGTTTTTGGATGGTTGGTGACTTGTTTGCTTCTCCTGGTTCCTGTTGATCAGTGGTGTTTGGCCAGTTTGTACATTTCCAGACATCACTCCACGATGTTGTTGAGGTGTATGATGGGCCAACTCAGCAGTCTTCTCTGTTATCTTCCCTCTCGGGATCCCACTCAGGTATCCTTTCATAGCTCTGCCATACATCAGTTCTTAATTAAAGCCTGACTTACTAGCATTGTAGAGAAAGTTGAGATTTATGTCATCCACGCTGGAGATAAAGTAAACTGAAAGCAGTCTATTATTTTTTTAAGAAGAGAAACACAATTTAATAGTAACTAAGGAGCTAGAAAAAAAAAAAAGTAGCAACTATTTTCTGGGCTTGTTCTTAAGTAAATATAATATTTATCACAATCTGTGGTATTCAATATAATGTAAACTATTTAAGGATTATTTGAATAATGGTACAGTGTACATCCAGTATGTAATTGAGATCTTCTGCTAACAGGATTGCAATTAAGCTAAACCCAAAGGAAATATATTGTTAGTTGCAGGATATTTTTAAAGTAATTTGATGGAACATAGAGTTACATTTTCAAACGAGAGTATGAAATAATAGAATTTGTTAGGATTACTGAATGAAAATTATTTATGATATCTTAGTGTTTGTTTTGTTGAGTAGGAGAATCACTTCCACTGAGTTCAGGTAATCAGATCACAATTCGATTTACTTCAGTTGGACCAATAACAGCTAAGGGATTTCACTTTGTGTACCAAGGTAAGTGACCCTGTGGTCTAGCAGCACACTAAGGAATGATACCAGTTTCCATTCTTTGTTCAGTTATTGGACGAGTCAGTCCTCATTGCCATAGAGGACGGATAAAACATGCTGTGCCCTTCCTTCCTGGCCTAGAGCATTGTTTCTTGACCAAAGTAAGACAAAACAAAACAAAAAATCTCCTGTTGCCACTACCATCCTCAATTTGAATGTACCTTCTTCCTGCCCAACATACTGTTTTCAAAACATCTATGTTTTCCCAGAATTCTTCACCCCACCTGTTCTATTGTCCTCATAGTCGGGCACTCTAAGTTAAAACTCTACAGATTTTTATTTTAATATATTTAGCTATACCAAGGAAATCATTGCTTCATTTTAAAATTGTGCTTTCTTATTATCTCAGGATGGAAACTTTCTTCCTGATTATTAATGATTTTGCACAATTAGAAGTTTATAATTTCTTGCTTTTATAGATATTTTTTCACAGTATTGTTAAGCTAAGCAATTACTTGAACTATTTTGTTTGAAGTATTTCTGATCATATGGCAGTACTCAAATGTACCTTGACCTTCATTCTTAAGAAATGTATAAACACTTGTGATTTGATATTCTTATTAAACTGTCTTACTCCATTGATCTGCTGACTATAATATCATACTGTTTTCAATAGTACTTTCCCCTATAAAAATTATGGTATTATGAATTTAAAAAGGCACTTTAAAATTTTGTTACATTTACTCAAATCTTATAAAATGAATCAATCAATTTGGAATTCATCATATCTCTTTTTGGCTGTTGTCAATCTCTTTAATCATATTCCTTGAGTTTTAAAAAGAAAAAACATCCTGTTATCATTCTGCTTAACTAAATTTAAAAGGCACAATTGAAAGACATACAAAATTTAAAAATTAATTTCAAATTTTATATTTCTTGATCAATCAAATAAAAATTTTATTGTTGTTAATCTGTCTGACTTATACTCTGCTTTAACTGAATGTACTTATTGTTATCAATAACAAACATGTTTTGAGAGCTAAACTTTATAAATATGCTACAAAATAAATTTTAAAAATGTTTGCTTCCTTAAAATCCATGTTATTAAGGACAAAATATTGAAAGAGATATAAAATTATTTAACATACCCTGACACATGTGGTTTTAATATAGTATCTCACCTTTTAAGGAAATGGACTTTAGTCCCATAGAGGCAAAATCTAACTAAAATTACATTGTATATTAGTAAGATTTTGGTGAGATAAAAAAATTAATTAGTATATTTACAGATCTGAGAGTTAAAAATTTCTAACAAAAAAATCTTGATGACAATGGCATTTTTCATTTTAAATTTTGTTTTATTTAGTATGAAACTTAAAACTTTTAGAATTGTATTGAAATTATTAATTTCAATTCTGGAAAAAATGTGAATTTCTTTGAAACCAGTTTAGTTCCATTTTGAAACCAGTAGAGTTACATTTTGGAATCTATTATTTTGGGAAATTAAAACTAACAATTATTTCTACACAGCGGTTCCTAGAACAAGTTCTACACAATGCAGTTCTGTGCCTGAACCAAGATTCGGAAGGAGAATTGGCAATGAATTTGCAGTTGGTTCTTTGGTTCTTTTTGAATGTAATCCAGGATATATTCTCCATGGATCCTTAGCAATTAGGTGTGACACAGTGCCCAATTCTCTAGCCCAGTGGAATGATTCCTTACCTACATGTATTGGTGAGTATATAAGTCTGTTTCCTCTGTGATTGTGTAATTTTTAAAAAAATTTCAAATGTATTTCTTTGTAATTTATCAACAAAATTCAATGTATTTATTTTGGACAACATGATGCTTCAAAATATATATGTATTATGAAATGCTTAAGGCTAGCTAACTAGCATATGCATTACTTCATATAATTACCATTTTCATGGCTAGAATCTTTCATATATATTCTCAACATTTTTTGAAAATGAAAGATTACATCAAGCAACTCTAGTTATTTTTTTTTAATCATTTAACCAGCATCCACCAACCCC